GCCAAAGGGCACTTGTACAGATGTCTTGCCCCCATTCTGACCAAAATTAAACCAGTAGTTTTGCAGTAGTACAGTTTGAAAGAGACAAGGAGCTTAGAATGGGGTGTCTCAGTAAAAACGTCTTAAGGCTGTTGTTACACCGCCATGTTAAGGGATCAGTAGTCATTTGGACCAGTTTGAGCAGAGAAAAAACTAATCTCAGCAAGCACCATTCCCTTTGTAGCTGGGTTGGAAGTGGTGTGCCATGGTCCTGGACAGTAACTCTGTCACTGTATACTCACTGTATACTTAGTGAACTTGCAGGCCTCAGGTGGCCCACTCTGGTGTGATGTTACAGGAATAAATAAATCCATCTATCCTCTAAGCTGTGAGCAGTTGTCTGTTGTTCATTGAAGTCAGATGACAGTCATGACACAGAGGCTCTGTGATGATCCACCAAGCCCACACAGATCACTCACTGCTGTGGTATGCCTGGAGAAGGTCTTACCTTGGCCCAACTTCTGCAGCTGTTTCAGCTCCCCACATCTACCAGAGAGGACAGAGAATTTGCTTAACTCCAGCTGAGAGACGGCAGTGCAAAGTCCCAGCACCTCTACTGCCGGCGGGTTGTGGGGAAGAGAAGTCATTTTAACACTAAAGGCTGAGCGTAGCTGTAAATGTTCCCAGTGCTTGCTTTGCTTTAGTCTGGGGTACCTCTCTGCCCACCCCGCTGTGGAGCTCATGTGTGTGAGAATGTGTGTGCCTGTGCGCATGCACCTGACTGACCTTAAACAAGTGTGCAAAACTCGTTTGCCTTCCCAGCTCAAAGGCTGCAGAGCTGCTGGGGACCTTGGGGGCAGGGCAGAGGCAACATCTGTTCAAAACAAAACAGTGCCTCCTGCTAAATGGCCTAGAAAGCTCCTTCGAGTGGGGTGCTGGGTGGAGACTCCAACGCTGAGAATGTTTTGTCTGGAGGAGCTGGGATCGGAGGTGGGTGTCCATGGGGGCTCCCACATCCTGAGAATGAGCCACATCTGGGGAAGTACTTTGGCTGGTGCTGATGATTCCCCAAGCGCTCTTGGCTTTAATGACTCGTGATGCCGCAAGAAGTGGTCCTGTAATGGCCATTCCATGCTTGGCCGAGGGGCACGTGCTCTGCCCCCACACCGGTGTGTTTTCTCATTCCCACAAGGGACCAGCACCTTCCGCTCTCCAACTGCCCCAGGCAGGGCCACCTGGAGACTCTGGTGCCTTCGGGAAGGGTCTGGGGGATTTGCAGGTTGCAGTAAGGTGTGCTGCTGGTGGCCATCCAGGTGCTTGTTCTGGCTCTGCTGTACCCATCACCAGTGCTGGACCAGTGTTAATTCTCCCTGCATGCAGAAGGTTCAGAGATGCTGGCTAAGCTTGGAGGTGGATGTACACCCAGGAGCTTAAGTCTGAGCATGGAGATCTGCATTGTACTGGGAGGGAGGAGGGCAGCACCCTGACCTGGAGCAATAATCTTGGCTGTTCCACTGCCTGGGAGCTGAATTTTCAGTGAGGATGTTATCTATGTGTCATTGCCTATAGGAGGGCTGACCAAGCCCCAAGACATCTGCACCATGGTTGCCTTCTGGAACTTGTATGGGAACAAGCACCCCCAAACATGGGGTGGCCCTACGTCACACAGCCCTTCTTACGGTGCAGTTGAGAGGCGGTGATGGCTCTTGTATCCCTTGTCCCTGCGACTTCCACAGATTTTCATTCAGAAAAGTCCCTGCTTTGGACCTTGCACCTTTCACATAGCCTGTAGAAGTCTAGGTGATTCTGTCAGTTCAGCAGCTGGCCAGGCCTCCCCCCATGGTCATTTTCAGCCCTTCTCAATAAGGAGAATTGCTGTGGGACTTGTCCTACTGGGAAGCAAATTGGTGATCTGTTTAATCCAGCACCTTGCCTGAGCAGAACTCAGTACTCCAGCAAGTCTAAGTGATCTGCACTTGGCAGTTTGAGGTTATTCCCCTGCAGCCCTTGTGCCACTCACTAATAGACTTCAGCTGAAATCCCCTGGATGCGTGGCAAAACCTAAGGTAAAGTTCCCTCAACTGGAAGTTGCCTGCTTTTGACTTATTGTCCAGTGGTGCTCCTGTGGCTTTTTTACTGTCCAAGTACCATCATTATTCTTCCTTGGGAGGGTTTTGGTGGGCCTCAGCATAGTTTCTGGTGGTTTGTGCACATGGGGGCTGAGACTCTGCCTTTCTCTGGTCAGCCTTGGTACAGAAGCTGAAGCCCAAGATGAGCCAAGGATAATGGAGCTGACGCTACCCCAAGTGTACATCCCAGCTTTCCTGCAGCCTCTGAAGATGCTGCTGACCTTGCCAGGTGTGTGGGGCTGCACTGGGCTGACCCTGTCTCACTGCTCCAGTCTCTCTTAACCCCAGAGAGCAGAGTGCCATGGTTGACTACCCAGAAGTCATTTTGTGTGCAGACACAATGTTCTTCAAGTTCCAGCTGTGGTGAAGGACAGAGGTAGGATATTGCCTGGTGCCTTCTGCGGTGCTTCCATGGACTTCATTCTTGGTTGCACTGGTTTGAGAGTCTGCTGCAGTCTGTTCCTACTGTTGTTGCCTTGACAGTGTCCAGATCTGCTTCTGGAACAGTCACCCTACATTCTTGACTGTGTCCTTCTTCCATGCCTCCTGCCCCCGGTGTGTCACCTTCCTTTGGTGGGTCCTCCTTTCCCCCCAGACCCTGGCAGAAGGTTTGTTTTCATGCCAAACCAAATGCAGAGCCAGGACAGAACTATCAATGAGCTTTCACATGTGCATTTAGGCCATTTGCAGGGCTTGGACCCTGCTTAGCCCCAGGTTGCAGCATCCGGTATCCCATCCTGGCAGGAGCCTGTCCGCCATGCCAGTGGGGAGCAGGGAATTCCCTCCCTCTGGCTGCTTTGCGCAGCAAGCGCTCATAAAGCCGCAGGTGTGGGATGTTTGTTATTTAGTCTACAGCCTGGTATGTGACAGTTTCTTTTCTACTCAGAGTGGTTTCAGATAATTAGTACATTATGATTCCACCACCTTGAGTGGGGGAAAGAGGAGGGGGCAGCCCACCCTCAGACTACTTGTAATTTCACATCCTGTGTTTTATGGACCCGAACTGTTCAGGGTGGGGAGTTGGATAGGGGGGATCAGAGAGCAAACAGCAAGTCCTTCCCCCACCTTCACCATCCACCAAATCCTGGGGTTGTTAGGATAGCCAAATGTTATTTTGCAGAGTTTTAGCCGGCTTAATTCAGAGATGTTT